GGGGGGATGGCGTACGGGGAACGTGCACGAGGGGGAAGTGACGTGGGAGAGTGACCTACGGGGTGACGTACGTGGCGGGGGGTCGTATGCGGAGGGTGCAGGGGGGTGTCGTGTGCAGGGTGGCGTGACGTGCACAGGGTGGCGTGACGTGCACGGGGTGACGTGTACCTCCACACACCGCTGCGCAGCGGGCATATAGGTGCGTGGCCTGCGAGGTCTGTGGGCGCTGCTCTGTCCCCGAGGACGCCGCTGTCTCTGAGGCTGGCCGGCTAAGAGACAGGCCGTGGCTGGAGCGCACCAGGGCCGTGCCTGCCCCCGGGCCTCAGCGCACAAAGGAGGGCGCCTCGTGGGGCAGCCTTCGGGTGTGGCTTGTAAATCTCGTGAGCTGTTTATTTACCATTCAAAAGACACGCCACATAGCCCCAGTGAGAGTAACACAGCAATAATTATACGTTACTCCATAATTAGAGTCATCTAGTTGTGTTAATTATGGCAACATAGTTATAAAATTGCCAGTATAAACTGGAAAACGAAATAATGAAGCAGCTGGCCTGGACGATCCTGGCCGAGTCACCTCTTTTTTTGGTTTTGTTTTCCTTGTATTTGAGGCAGGGTCTCACTATGTAGCCCAGGCTGGCCTTCAACGCACGGCAACCCTCCTGCCTCAGCCTCCCGAGTGCTGGGACAAGAGGAGGGCTGGGCAAGGCCCGCCCACAGGACTCCGTCCCCTCCACGGCCTAGGGCTGGCTTTCCCCAGTGGGGCCCCGGGGCACAGGGACACATGCTTGGCCTCTCCACTCGCCCTGCCCTCTCGTGGCTGCCATGCCAGTGGCCCAGCCTCTAGGTCACCTCTGAAGTTCTGCATTTTCAGGGACAAGAGGTCATGAGTCAGCTTGTGGTCGGACATGGGGAAGCAGCTTGCTTTTCTCCAGGTAAACTGAGGCTGCCAAGGCTGAGAGCCCCAAGATGTCACCTCTCCCGCTGCCCTGAGCTTCTGTTGGAAGGGACCAGTAGTGAGGGTCGGTGCCCCTGACCCCCACCATGCACAGCCACTCGCCTGTAGCCACCAAGGGAGCAGGGACAGGAAGTCCTTCCGCCAGAGGAACCCTCCTGCTCCGCGCACACTGCTGGCTCCCCCGCGGCCGCACGCCTTCCAAGGGGCCAGCCAGGCTGCTGACCTGCAGGAGCCCCATGGTGTTGGGTACCAGGTCCCTGCCAGTGGGCAGCTTCACTAGGAGGCGGAACGGCCGCAGCGGGCCCCTGGGGCATCCCTGCCGGCCTCCCGCACCCCACCTTGCCCTGTCCTCTGTGTCTGGCCCTTCCCTTCTGCAGCGGACCCTCGAAGTGGCAGGGAAGTGAGGGCGGGGACGCAGCCTCACAGCGGCACCTAGGATGGAGCACTTGTCATCATCTCTGTCCCCAGCCCTGAGTGGGCTGATAGAGGGCGGGCGGGGCGGGCGGAGCCTGCTCAGTAGCACATCCACCGCCGCGTCCCACAGCGCCCCATCCCTCAGCGCCCTGTCCCACAGCGCCCCATCCCTCAGCGCCCTGTCCCACAGCGCCCCTGTCCCTCCCTCCAAGACCTTGGGCAAAGAAGCTGCTCCCAGCTGACCCCCGGGGGGGGG